GCGGTTGCTACGGGTTCGTACATCCTCCTCGATAACGCGAAAATTTACAATTTGTAAGTCAGTCTCACCCTCTTCCGTATTGCGTTTGAGCTCAATGATCGCAGTCTTCAAACGATCCCTGCCTTCGGTTTCCAAGTCTCGGCGGATGTGAAACTTTATGCCTTGCAGCCTTGATAGGCGAGACAGTATGAGCTGCGGCATATTGCGATTAGCAAAGGTGATTCGCAGAGGTCGACTTCACTGGTTACTTTTCTGGCCAAGTCGGATTACTTGTTTAATCGTCAAACTGTCTTCATCCACATCCAAGAGTCTATGGATGAGAACCTGAAGAAACTCAACATTGTGAGTGTAACGTGTCTGGTAGTTTTCATCTTTTGACTCTGGTGCATGGAAGATCACGAGATTATGAAGCCTCAGCGAAATCGGTGATGAATCTATGGAAGCAGAACTAAAGGCGCTTATCTTATTGGGTTGTTGTTTAGCAGCAGGAGACGCCTGAACTCGATTACGTAGCACCTTGCGCTCTTGAGTGTCCCATGGACAGGCTCTGAGAAATTCCGGACCGATCAGTGAAGCGGCATTTCGTAGCTTCGGAGTCTGAGTCCTCAATCGGTGGGAACATTGAACCTGAGGCTTGGCCGGGCTCGAAGACGCTGGTGGTGGTGCAGATCATGGAGTGGCAAGGGAAGGTGAGGTGACATAGGTACTTTCATGAGGGCGCTTGACCCCACGTGGTGAACGGTTTGTTTCTGTCGGGAAGTGTGATTTTCCCGTAATTGTTGGCAGTCGCTGTGAATTCTGATGTTTTGCTCTGCGATATTTATCACATATAATTTGGAAAAACAGATACCGGACTTCAAGAAATTTTCAAAACACGTCAATGGATAAGCCAATGCACGAAATATGGAACAAAACATCGCAACCGAAACACGGAAGTGCATGATCCTTATGTCCAACAACTTCAGAACACGAACCACAAGTAGCTTGAGACGGGATCACAAAATAGAGCAAATCCAAGATGGGGGACACAGATGGCAGTTGGTCCAATCAACGAGATCTCCGAAATTAGCCAAAGAATATCCATCAAATTTGCAACGATTGGAAAATACACCGAAAGAAGAATATTGGTGCACAATTCACACAAGAATAACACTTATAACACGGTAATCCGAGGCAAAAGTAGTATCCAGCACACGGTGTTTCAAAAATCCGCGGAGTCCGTAGGTACAGCATAAATCAGTCCACCGACGCTCTTCAGATTGGTCGCCTCAGCGATCAACCGTTCAGGGGAAGCCCACAATTCTGTTCTACTGACCTTGACATTTTGCAGGTCGATTTCACGCCGTGTTCAGTGCGTATCATAATAAAAATCTGTATTCAGGCCAGTTTATCGTTGGTCGTAACGTGTGGCTTTTGTGAGCTGTCCATCCTTGGGCATTATACATGTGTGCAGTCTTTGCAACGAATTTTACATAAACAAGTGGGAGGGTAAATGTTTTAAAAGTAACGGTGGTCATTGCAAAAGCGCCACCTTAACGAGAAATGGCGGTAAAGCTGAAGGGGGATCTTGAGCATACGCTAAGTGACTGCAAGTTTAAAGTGTAGGCATTGATACTCACCACTGTACACGAGTATGACTTTCGAGCCAATTTGGCACGAGAGGCAGAACAAGGCCTAGGTGTTTTTCAAGATCATTCGCGGGTGCTTCTCGACTGCAGTATGCTTATGGGGCGTCACTTGAGGGTCTCAATCAAACGTCAAGTGGTTTATCATCAATGCAAAGTGCGAAAGAACTTCAATTTCCTGCACCAGATGAATGAGTTCCTCTTGATGACTCAGTACTCCTATTCTCGACTTTCTGAACTAGTAATACGCTTTAAAGGGTGAAATTCGGAAACGAATAGCTTTATTAATTCGTTTCATTTGCTTGTCCTTTATGTCTCAACACCACATTTTCATCACTCTGCAAACAAGAATACAGTTACGATTATCTGATTCCGTTCGCTGCCCTCACATTACAAACCTATTCGGCAGCTTTGTGTTGCACATTATTCTGCCTTGTAGAAACGGTTACAGGATTATATTACGAATTCTTCTGTCCCGACCATGAGTATAGTCCAGGTTCATACATCGAAGTAGCACTATCTAAATACATATTGTGCGACGCACTTAGATTTAGCGCAGTTTCGTCGTTAGAAGCATCAAGATCACTGAGCCCCATTACCACACAATTATATAGCAAAAAATAAGCATTACTGTACCAGTTGTGAGGGGCAAGACTACAAAAAGATAACAAAAGAAAGATAAATGACAAAATTAGGCTGAGCGGGACTGATCAAGAAACTCGCAACGCAAACGTCACTGAGATCGAATTTCACTATGCCAACAAGTGTCTCCAAACAAACGTGTTCATCGTTTTTCGTACTCCATCCCGTAAGTCGAGAGGCACCAACCGAGAATAAATTCGAAGATGAAGCTTTCATTCCACTTGACCCATTCGGCGGATGGTCTCCTGCTAAGGGAGACCGTTCATATAGAAGCAGTTCAAGACCTGTTCCATCTCAACGGAAGCCCGAACCTCTCCAGTTCGAGAGTGCCAGAAAGCTAAGCTGAAGTGATTTGTTGGAGATCAGTTTTAATGCCTCATAATGATGTGCAGTCTCTGTCTTCTCAAGGGTGCAGAAATCCGAAGCAGAATACTTGGGCTATTGGGATCAAACCCGGACGCCATACTGCAGATTATCATTACAGTGGTTCCGAAGATCCTCAACTTGAAATACGCTATAAGTACAGTTGAGGATGTCAGGATGCATGCCGGTGATTTCACAGTTTAGCAGATTGTCAAGAGCAACCTTTCCGCCACTGATCACGAAACTTCCTCAGTCTATTGGCGATGCGCAGACCGCAATTGATGAGACGGTGTCCAGTAAACAAGCACATATGTCAGAAATGCCGGAGATACAGGAACAAGAAGAGCTAGTGGGGATCTGAATCACCTTTCAGACTATTTTGCGAGGAGAGTAAACGCCAAATGTCGGAGACTTAAAAAAACTACCTTGCTATTAAAATCAATGGAAGACAGGCGTGCTAACAGATCGATAAAACCCTAGACAACACAACCATATCGGAAAGGCTGTGGGGAGAAAACGGGTCGCCTGATAACGTTTCACCAATCAGCAAACGGAGAGCGCATTAAGTGCTGAGCTGAACGTGTCGTTTTGATGACTTTGCCGCATGATAAGCGAACATTGTCATAATCCACCAGATTGAATCGACCGTTCCAACCTCATGGATGTCCTGAACAATCGGATATGTGCAAGTATCCAGATACACAGGTCAACCGCGCTAATAACTACATATCAAGCGTAAGCGAGAGAAGTATGTCGCAGATTTTGTAAGAGTCACTGTAAGTGCATGAAAGCACAAGCTTTTCTGTTCCCAAAGCTCGATGCTGTTCTAGTGTTTCGAACGAAAGTTAATGGTTGGCTAAGAGTTGGAGCATTTAGTGAGGACAGGAGTCCTACATCCTACTGAGCGGCATCTACTGGTGTGATCAAAAAGCACAATAGGTCTGAATGCAGCATTGAATGCCAAGTGATACCCCTTACCGATTCTGATTCTCACGCAGTGGCAGTAGCTGCTGGCTGGTGGTGTAAGCCACTAGCGATCATGGGTTCGATCGTCAGCAACGGACCGAGGAAATGCGCACCACTGACAAGCCCCAATAAGGTGAAACGACCGTCTGATGCTTCTCAGGATTCGTAGTTCACTTTTGCGGCTTGTAAACTAATTGCGATGGACCAAATAAAAGAGTATGTAAGTATGTCTACTCATCACTAAATGGGGATAATTGTCTTCAGAAGCTGGATGTTGCAGAGAGGTACATGTGGATCGAAGGACATGAGGTATCATGTGAATCGTTCACTATAAGTACGCACAGAGGTCTACATCAGAACCGCCGCCTTCCGTTCGGGGTAAAGTTCGCAGGAGACATATTTCAGATCATGGAGATAGTGCTGACAGATGTAGTTGGGGACGCTGCATACCTGGACGGCATCATTGATGTCGGAGGCAGTGTTGATGACCTACCTATCGAGCGTATGAAAGACAAATAAGCAGCAGTGTTCGTGAAGATCTCGGTCAGCGCACACACGTAAAAGCTTCACTTTTCCTGATGCTGTTCCAGTGTTTTGTATGAAACGTCCTATGCTGTACGCAGTAACACTAATGGTTGACCAAGAGATGGATCGTTTAAAGAGGTAAAATACTCATTCAGAGCGGCACCTCGTTTTATGGTCAGGAAGCGCATGGGTATGAAGGCAGCATTGAATATCTATCGATGCCTTACCACTTCTGGAAGATTTTCTCGCAAAACTAAATAGGGATAATCGTTTTGCATAGTTGGAGGTTGCCGACACGTACTTGTGGATCGAAGAACATATAGAATCATAAGAATCGCCTATTAATGTTAGTGGAAAAGCTAGAAGTAACTAAGCGACAAAGTCTTCCCTACCCAAAGTACAGTGCAGTGTTCAGGAGTGCTTTAACTTCCACAGTGATGACCATATGTGCCAAACACAGTTCAGTCATGACCAAGAAGACCACCAGTCATGTCAGTTGTCCGGCAGTAACCCACATGGCAGTTGAGAATGAGCCGCGCTATATAGCAGCGGGTAATCAGTTATGGCGGTAACCGTCATCACAAATGGATTAGTGGTTAAGGTCGCTGATTGGTAAGAATAAGTTTATGCAGTGGATATATGTGCGTTACTGATGAGTCTTAATGGGACCAAACAGCCGTGCTCACGTGATACCGTGCACCGGTTTTCATGGATGCCTTTTATCGCGCATCAAGGATAGGAATAACACTGGACTGCAAGGTCAGTGGGGAGTTGTGTTAGGTGGTTTTGAACAAAATCATGGTTCAGAACAGAGACTCATACAGTAGGCTGCAATACTGCGCCTATGTAAGCGGTGGCGATCTGGGGGTGTCAACTCACCCGTTGCACTCTTTGCTCGGCAATGAAGAATGAGAGAAGACTAGACGGCTGAATCGAAGGCAGAGCGACTTGCCAAATTGTTGCAACAGGAAAAGAGACCAAGGTAACTTGTTGCCATGGAGAGCAGCGGAATACTGAAAATAAGCGGAAATCAGGGAAGGGTATTATGCGGATAGATGGCCAACTAAATGATAGAGACAGACACGATGTGTAGATAAAACGATGTACCGTCAAATTAGGTAACGAAGCAGCCAAACTAGTGAACGATTTGAGGTGATCGACCAAGGAGGCACAGGATTAAGTGAACTGACGGAAACAAGCAAGCAAACGTAATGGAGAAGAACTGTAACAATGTCTTTCGAAAGCGCATGTGTGTCACATGCGCTACAAACCAATGAGTTCAGTTCGGCCCGATTCATTAAAAAGGACCAATGAACCGAAGATCCGAGAATCAATCTGCCTAGAGGAGTCTCTCGAAACAATGAAAAGCAAACGGAAGTGGGAGATAGGGGAAATGGAACAAGCAGATGAAGCACCTAGGAACTGGGAAAGAAATAAAGAAGTGTAAGAGTGTCCTAACTAGTGAGTTAGCACGCGTATTCCATACTTAACCTACCTGCAAGTTTGTCCTGATTTATTTCACGCTATCAATCGACCGCTGCTTTGTCTTACCACTTGGCATGTGGTTTTATACAGTAATCCATAAAGAGATAGCGAAGGATACGACTTAATTGGTGTAAGTGGTTTGATTTCAACAGGCATTCGCAAGTTGTATCAAACCTGTTATCAAATCTCGAATGGCACCTTTCAGTACACGTTATATAGTGCCCTAAGTGAATATGAGCAGTACTCCGCGGTCTTCTAAATTCCTCAGCGCAGTATGTTCATGGCTCACACTCGCTGCCAAAGTAAAGGAGCAACGAGACTGGACGTTCATGTGGTGCGATGGTTTGCGTACCCCTGTGGCGATTCAATGTTACGAAAAAGTAGAGGCCAGGGATAAAGGTAACTAGTTACCAATTTCGGAAATAGCGCTATTCGCAGTATTCATCCTCAACTTCAATAGATGGCGAGATAAATGTCACGTTAAGCAGAGCGATGTTTGAAAGATAGTATACGCGTCAATTGGGGTGAACAAGGCATTACTCCGTTGCAACACACAACGAATGCCGAAAGAATCTGCCTTCGATAGTCCCGAAGTTATGGTCGCTGAGATGTGACTGCACAAAGGTGCCAGACCAGTGTCTGAGTATAACTGAAGAGCCAGTTCAGGTATCGGTTAAACAACTACGATCCGAGTGCAGTACATTTCATTTCAGTTGATCAACAATGAGCCGGGCACCAAAGTGTGGTGCATCCAGTTGGCACGACTCACATCGCAAGAATAACAATTAATACCATCGGTAGGATAGTGGGTTGGGTACAAATATAATGTAGAGAAAAGGAAATCAAAAAGGAACTGCGTTAGACTAATCAGAATAGGACGAAAATTAACAACTAGATGAAAGAAGCCGAGTGCAGGAAATCCACTGACTTCGTGATTTGCCATGTCTGATACGGTCTCCAACCATCGGTGTGGACCATCCCGAGGCCCCCATCCACGAAGACGGCACCCACCAGCCTGACCAAGTGTCTCAGTCAATTTCATCAAGCTTATATGCTGTCATGCAGTCGCCACCTCGCGGTTTCGCCCACCTTAGTGCAGTCACGCGGTATAATGCAGGCGGAGGAAGCCGATTAACGGGTACAGGGGGGGACATGGCCTAGCCAACGCGAGCGACTAAGGTTTATCAAACACTCGAGAGAGAGAGAGAGAGATACAGTAAACACTACAATAAGACACCAGAAGGCTTCTTGTCAAAAACCAATTAGCAGACCTCAGCATTGCTCACCCGGTGTTCCCACTAAATGTGAGCAATATTTCGCAAGCACCGGTGGTCAAACACGGTCAAGCGTTTAGTGCTTTACAGAGGAGTGTTTTCATTACGAACTGGCCATGTCTCCGATCCATACAGTAACACTGGCCTTATCACAGCGTTATACACAGTACCTTTCAATGACAAGCTGATATCCCGCCGTCTCCACACGAGCTTTGCTGATACGTGAAGTTACTTACTTCTCAGTGATGTGACCACCAGAGGTGATACAGTTATCAAGGTAAGTGAATCAATCCACCAGTTCCAGTGGCTGTTCGGAAGCAGTTAAAACCGGAGGAGTGTTGGCCCAGTCTTGCAACAGTACTTTGCATTTTTAAGGTGAAAAGTACATGCCGAACCGTGCAGCGCTACGTATAAGTCTGTGCTGTAGTGTTTGCATAGCTAATGCATCGGACCCAAGGAGAACTATGCCGTCCGCATACGCCCCAAGTTTGTCAATCGGTCACCTGGCAGAACTTCCACCCCAGAAAAGAATCGAGTCACTCATGATCATTTCGAGCACAAAGTTGAAGAGCAAAAGAGATAAAGGACAACCCCGGTGAACGCACTTGTCGTGGGGAACTCAGGAGACAGTTGCCTATAGACCCTTACACGGCCTAGGGAATCATGGTGGAGGGACTTCAGAATGGAAAGGAGTTTAGCTGGTACGCCCTTCATGGATAGGCAGCGCCACAAGATGGCTCGGTCAACAGAGTCGAAGGCGGCTTTCAAGTCAAGGAAAACCACCATTGTCGGTCGTCTGTACGTGTGTATCTGCTCTAAGACTTGGCGAAGAGTAAATATGTGGTCGATGCAACCATGACCAGGGTGGAAGCCGGCCTGGCTTTCAGTGATTCGATCCTCACGGGGATCCGTGAGAAGTGTTGAGGTAATGGAAAGAAGGCTCGTGTCTTGATGATTACCGCAAAGTACGCAGACCGCTCCTGAAGATGGGCAGTTGATAGTCGTCAGTTTGAAAGCACTTCTGCAGTGTCCCAACTCGTGTTAGAAAGAGAAGCAAGTCTAGTCAACAGAGTCAACGCCATCTTTCAGCAAATATGAGGTAAGGTCATGGTCCTGGAGCCATGTTTCAACACGGAAAGCTCATGTCGAATCTCTTCCTAAGTGGGAGATGTGACATCTACTTCCCAAGTAAGCTAAGGAGATTCGGCAAGTGGCATTGTCGCTGCAGGCCTGCTGAACTGCTCCACAAAATGTTTCGCCCAACAGGCTAGTCAACGACGTTGAGAATGGATTAAAAGTCCATTTTTCTTAGCTATTGTGCCGCTAACTGATGGTTTTCTCGGACTCGTGTTCCGGATGAGCTGGAATAGCACCCGACTGCAATAGCGCTGGCTCTCTCCATCTCACGGGTCTTTGCAACCCACCAACGTTCTCGGTCAACTCGAAGACTCCTTGTCAGACGTTGCGTCAGAGTTACGGATAAGCTGAAATTCAGTGCTCGTCGGAACGCGTTTGCGCGGGGTTCGATCAAACTGGTGGAGGCTTCAGAGATCCATTCCAACTCATGATGTCCCAAGTCGGGTGCACAGCAAGCGTCAAAGGCATTCTTCCTGGCACGCTTGAGTCGATCCGAGTGCAGAAATGCGGTGGATCCAGTTGTTACGAGTCGCCTCAGGATGCAAAGAAAAGGGAGTTTGGAAAAGTTGAATAACATTTACATGAGATGGAGCAGTATCAGCCAGAGGTAAGAAACCGAATGCAGGAGCGCTATTGACTCCACGGCCGTGCCATTTTTGAAAAGGTCTCCAATTCTTGATGTGGCTCATTCCAAGGCCCCATTCCAAAAGACGACCCGCACCAATCAGATCAAATCCTTCAGGCAATTTCCTCATACCAGTATATCATGTTTTTGACTGGCCACCAACTATAAACAGAATACGAGCTCCCATGCCGGGGTTAGGACCGCTGGCTATCCGTAGCATCAACCTCTTTCGAGCACTAGCCACGCACCCGAAACTGTCAAAGCCACAATCTTTATATGTGTGAACAACACAAACGGTTCTACTAACATGTGCCGGGCTAATACGGTTGCACCCCCGTCAAGCAGACATCCTTGCAACCGTCCCCATATTGTAGTGTCAACAGCTGCGACTTGTACAACGTTGCGGGTGCCGTCAACTCCGGCAGTTTCAGCGGCAACAACTATATTGCATACAGTGTGCTGTGTAGTTTGTACACTAAGCAGATGCAATCCCGATAGACGTGGAGTTCGTTCGCTGATTAATCCGACCACGTCGGATACGGGCAGCACCTCGGAGCATCGTGACAAACCTGACGTCTCATTTCGGTCTTCAGCACTCCGCTGTCTGACGACAGAAAGTAACTAAAGTTGTTCTGATTGAAGGTCATCATTCATCATCATTATACGCGTTAGCTGCGGGTGGAAAAGACTTCAGCTATCGTGCCACAATACAAAAGAAAAGAAAAACACAAAAAAGAGGCACGCCGGTTGACTCACCAGTAACGGATGGACATCATTTCGGAGGGCTAATAGCTAGCAACTGCGCTGCAAATAAGTCATATTATGCCTAAAATTGAGATCGTGATTGGAGGGAGATGCTAAGCGGAAGGGGGAGGGACAAAGAAACTCATAACAAACGCCACTGAGGTTGGCTCCTAGCCATGTCAACAAGTGTGTCGAGCCAAACGTCCTCATCGTCTTTCGGTCGCCAACCAGAGAACTGAGAGGCTCTAAACGAGGCCAACTTCGAAGTAAGGGCTTTCATTCTTCTTGACCAAGTCAGCGCTTGGCCACTTCTCCTCTTCTTCCATCCGAACCCCCGGCACGCAAACAACGTAGGCCGCTGGAGCCGGTGGGCTGGCATGCGCAACACGTGGCTCAGCGATCGGAGTCTGATGCGTGAAATAACGCTACTGAGCGGTTCGCTTCTTCTTCCTGCGCAATAAACAAGGTGTCGAAAACGCTCATTGCTCCAATGGTTTTCCCACCAGATATGAGCCAAACTGCGAAGGCACCGGTGGTCGAACGTAACTAGTCTCCTTATGTCTGCTGATTGAATGTCCTTTTCGTGGCGTTCCCGAAGGACAGACGTCCTTCGCCCGGGTTTGGTCTCCAGATTTGGATACTGACGAGTGCCTAAGCCCCAAAATGCCGAAACACCTGCACGCATTATAAGGAAGGCACTGAGTACCTGCAGCAACAACTACCAATGAGTGCGGCTTCACGGGCCTAG